TTTTGAGCGAGGTAACACCTAATGTTACACCGATTACGAGTGGTTCGGGAGCAGGTTTTGGAATAACAGTCAAGGTAAATTCCCGTTTATAGCCTCCTATTTTCTCAGGGGTAGTTGGCAAAACTTCCAAGAGTTTTATACCTATGGATTGTAGAAATCAAATGCTGTTGAACGTGAAGAATTTGTGACGATAAAAGTAGGCGAAGAGCAGTCTGAACGTGACGATGTTGCAAATAAAAACCTTCCACAAGAGGCAAAGATGGATCTCTATCATCCTAAACTCTTAACTTATGGCAGGTTTGTTTGTTATGTGCATATCCTATTATATCCATGTTTTCGATGTTTTCAGTAGGAATGATGATATAAGTCATGCTCAAACCATTGAAGGGCCAAACGGCTTGAAATTGGTGGTATCTGTGGAAAAACCCGAGGTGCTGTTCAGATTTTTATGGATTAATCTTTACTTGAAAGTTTCAAATTTCAGACCACAGACGCTCCACCTACTCTAGATGCAGAAGGTGCGGCCAGCGTAGAGCCGGCAGCAAGAAAAACTAACTCATCCGAGTATGGTGATGTTTGGGAAGATGAAGATGATGTGCATTTGGATTCTGAAGATGTTTCCGGTAGGGATTTGCATAAACCATCAATTTTCTGGGGCAGGGACAAGAGAAGTCCCTAGGAATTATGCTTCTTCTACTTCTGTTCTCGTTATGCAAAACATGTGGATAATTTTTTGGCTTGCAGTACCTGGCACTTCTTTCAACCCTATGAAAAAACCACAAGTCATAGGAGCTCTTGCAAATGCCAACGACGATCCGTACAAACCGAAGATGGAGTGTCCCACGTGTGGACTGGTGGGACCGCAATGGTATTCAGTGATATGGTGCAGCTGATAGACATTTTTAGGTCCTCTATCGTCATAACTTCTCCACACATTATAGAATTCATACTGGAGAGCTTCCGTTTTACTGCGAGTTCTGTCCTAAGCGGTTTAGGTGCGCTCGCACGCGGCTAATATTTATATTTTCTTTGTTGTTTCGCTTATATCTCTTCCTTTTGAACTTTTCAGAACCACTTCATCTTTGAAAGTCCATGTCAGAGCGCACACAGGAGAGAAGCCTTATGTCTGTCCTATGTGCGGATACTCAACAATTACGAAACGCAACCTAGATCGACATATTGAAAACCATCATGTGAGACTAGGAGGTTCGAGAGGACCGGCAACTAGGAAAAGCAGGTAGAGTTTTCTTCTCAGCCTCCTTTTCATCTTAAAAATCAAATGACGATGGTTGAAAACTATAAATAAACTAAGTAACTCATGAATTCTAACTTTGAATTTTCTACTTCTCGTGTTATTCTATCTTCTAGAAGTACCTCTAAACTTTGTGAAGACTTATACGAATTCAAAATCTGTTGAGGTATCGCGAAAATGTGGAAACTGAGTGGCTGGATGATATGAGATCTCATGTTGAACCACAATATGAACGAAATATAACTGAAAATGTAGAGGTTTGTTGCTATCGCTTTTCTTTCTGCACTAAATTGATCATTGTATCCCTTTTATGGGAAAGCCCTTGTTTTAGTGTTCGCTAATGTTCTGTTGCCAAAAGTAGGCGGTGACTATTCATCAATATAAATTACAGGATCAAGATGATTGGGAACAACGGCGTCATATCGACCTCGCTCAGGACGCTAATTCATCTTGATAGTTGTTTTGTATTTAGAACGTCTGCATATTTGCTATAATGCTATTTTCCATTGTCGCAGTTGTAAATATATTCAAATTCATAACTTCTCTGTTTATTCTCTGCAAGTGTTATAATGTCAATCTACCTTTTGATATTTCGCATCTGCTTGATATTAAATACAGTTCGATGGAAAATGCAGCGTAGGGCTGTTGAAGCACTACACCAACTACACCAATCGTATGAGACGCGTGTTGTGTGTAGCTGAGAAAAATGATGTGGCAAAGGGGGTTGCTGCAATTTTGTCGAAAGGTGTGTCACCTGTTTTTGTTAGAGAAAACAGAGGCGAAAATTTGTAGTCCAAAAATTAGAAAGTTAATCAATGAGGAGCATTATGTCGGGAAAGCATCGCATTGAAAATGAGATATCACAGGCTCAGATTCTTAGTAACCTTGACGTAATCCGAAGTGGCCTTCAATCATTTGAAGGAAAGTTCGTTGTTCAGGTCAGATGGCTCGCAGAGAAGGCCGATCGGTATATAACAAAGTATACTGTTTAAATAGTGAATTTCTCG